GATGTTTTGGAAAATGCCGTCGAGGCAACTGAGACGTTAGAAAACATTAGTTATCAAGCATACTTACACAGGCCCCGCCTCGTGCAGAGTGCAATGTGTGAGTGATTTGAGCACAGACAAGCCGAAGCGAATGGCTTTTCTGTAAAGTTCAGGCATCCACTGAAACCAGAAATCCAAAGAGCATAAAAGGTGGTATTTATTTTTTCGTTCTGGATAATGGTGGGAAAGCTGATGTGGTCTATATCGACTTTTCCGAAGTTTTCGACCGTTATAAGTCTGGTGCGGCTTTGGATACATCAGGGATGCCTCAAGGCTCTGTTCTAGGTCCATTAATATTTTTAATTTTTATTAATGATCTTGTAACAGACTTGCGTTGCGAATACTGGCGATGTGAAATTTTTTATAGCGTGTGCGGGTTAGAAAATAGTTTTAAGTTCCAGGCTGACTTGAATAACACAGATCAATCCGTTGAGCTGCTCTCCTTCATTCTAGTACCCGACTCTAGATCGGTTACTCAGTGAGGCTCCCAAAAAACTCCCTCTTGAGCGCACGAGACAGGAAATTTCGTTCGACTTCTCTGAGTGTATTTTTTACTAAGGAAACGCACCCAAGAGAAAGACCAAAAGTAATATTTTTTATACTGTATCAAAAGTTGGAAGAAGTTGACTTTTTGTATGGCAATCCCAATGGACAATCCATCTCTTAGGGCTTCTGGATCGGTCTATTTCCTTTCGGGCGCGAAGCGAATAAAACAACTTTTCTCTCGCAGTTTCATGAGGAGCATCAACTACAGTTATTTATGAGAATTCGTACCTAAACTTGTGAGAGTAATGGAGAAAATGTAGACGCTAATGTCTAACAATTATGACGTGGATTGCGCGTAAAGTACTTGGAGCAAATGGAACTTATTACTTTGACATAATAACGAAGGAGTTGCGTTACTAGACCTTGTAAACACGTAAATGCAGAAACTTTATGGTTGGAAGATGGTTTATGAAATATTGTACTTTACATAATACATCAGTGAAGCTTCCAAATGGTTATCCTAAGGATCTTAGACCCTTCTATGAACAGCAGAACAAAAATTCATTTAGAAATCTGTTTTGAAAAGAGTTGGTGTTTGGTTCTGTTACTATCTCATATAGGGCGCTAGGATCTTCAATCCTTTTCGGGCGCCTTTCCAATGCCTATTTTAATTGCTATCTTCAGGTGGAATACGCAATGCAATTCCTAAAGATACCTGCCTAAAATAGGCAATAGAGATGCACCAAAAAGGGATTGATGGTCATAGCACCTTATATGGCCCAGTAGTACCAAGTCAACTACTTTGTACGTCAGTCTGCCACCTATTTGAAAATTCAAGTGGTCTTGATATTACTTGATAATTTTTGTAATATAGAGGGTGGCGCATCTAAAACGAAACAGACGCATTTACTGGTAGCTCAGTTTTGTTTTGGAAAAACGCTCAGACCCGTCGATTTTGTTTTCGAGGGGGACACAAGTTTGGTAAAAAATCACGTTAGCACGTGCAGCCCCCTAAGCGGGAGTGACACCAACCCCAAAGGCTTAAATGGAAAGGGGGGTCGAGTGATACCCTATTTTAAAGGTCTTTCAATTCCCTTTATAATGATATAAAATTAATGTACTTCAGTTTAGTAGTTTTGAAGATTTATTGATTTAAAGCTTAAATAAAACTAATACATAATCATTAGTGGAGATCAATACATTTGGCAGCAAAGTAATTCAAAAATGAAGAATGAACAGAGCCGTTAGGCAAGTATATGTTGAAAATGGCCACCATGACTCTCCATGCAATAATAAAGATTTTGCTCAAAGCGTTGACGCACATTTTGCAATATTTGAGGAGTAATTTAAAGGCAGGTCTTCTAATGGTGTTGACTGAGTAGCATAGATTTTGCTTTTTAAATGACTCCACATAAAGAAATCCAAATGTTATAAATCTGGCGATCTTGGGGGCCATTCAATGGCACCTCTTCTACCAATCCATCGATCTGGAAACGTCTGATCTAAATATTGTCGAACATGTAATGCGTAATGTGGTGGGGTACCATCCTGTTGCAACATCAACCTATTCGCAATGTACCGCCGATCATTCTGATTTTCAATTATGGCTGTTAATGCAGGATCTATGGCGTCTTTCAGTAATTCCAAATACATTTCACCGGTCAAATTTCCAGGTAAGAAAAAAGGACCAACTAAATGATCGCCAAAAATACCAGCCCAAACATTTAATTTTTGTGGCTGCTGTGTATGAACCTCATCATAATTTCTGGGATTAGAATCGGGCTAATATCGGCAGTTATGACGATTTACTACGCCATTTAAGAAAAAGGAACATTCGTCGGAAAAGCAAGTGTTGAATAGAAAATGTTCATCCTTTCTAATTCGTTCACTCATATCTTCACAAAATTGTAATCGCCGATCAAAATCGTCTGGGTTTCAGTTATGGCATAGGGATTTAATTCTGCTCACAAATGATTATTGTGGAAATTCTGAATGGAATTTCGCGAAAAAATAGCTTCGTCCGTGAACAGAATCTTTGATTCAAATTGCGGATTTTGTGAAATTTATGAAGGTACCACTGACAAAAGGTCACACGCATTGGAAAATCAATGGGAAGTAATGCCTGTACTCTTAAAATATGGTAACAATATAACAATAAATCCACTAAAATTCTCCAAACAATTTGATGGCAAATATTTAAGTGTCTAGCGATCTTCCTCGTACGAATACTCGTTTCAGGATGTTCTTCGACTTCGTGCAGCACTGCTTCCTCAATGTCAGGTGTTCTCACTCTTAGAGGTCTACCTTCAGATGTTCCTTTTCAGACAGAACCAGATTCAACAAGACGACGATGAATATTAGAAAAGGTTCGACTATCTGGCAAAGCACGATCGAGATATCTCTGGTGATAAATCCGTCTGGCTTGCTCACCGTTACCGTCGGCAAAGCCATATACGGAATGCATTTCCGCCATTTCTGCATTCGAATAATTCACCATTATTAACAAGATTGTAAAATTTAAATAATGAAAAAGATGTCACAGCGAACAGATTTGAATAACAGGGACTTGTCGGATGTCAAAAGCCAGTGACATATTCCAGAGCAACTAGATATTTATTGCTAAATTGCATTCTTCCATTATTACATTAATTTTCTCGGACAATAGAACGGTTTTTATTTTTTTTTTACTCAAAAATGGCGCATCGAAGGAAAACAGTTCAAGAGAGATCATTTGTTTTAAATTGAACGGGGAATTTAAAAATAATTTTTATTTTGCAAAAAACCATTGGCGTACCATTTTTTTCTTAAAAAATATCGAAGTCAATACCCGTACGCACGCCACTGTTGAAGCTAAAAATTATTTTTCTATTGAAAAATATACAGCTTGATTAACTTTAACTACGTACTAAATATCAGTGAAATATCTGAAGCGGTTCGGAAACTATTAATTAATTTCCATTTTTTTCCTAAAACTTCAACACCCCGAGTTTTTGTAAGGAAACATTTTTGGACCATGGTTTATAAAGCAAACTAACATTAATTTTTCATGTAGATTCACACCCTTAAATATTCGCATATCATTAAGGAACGCCCTGTATATGGCTTGATTCGGCCAGACAATGCACATAAAAACCACGGAATGAGCTTTAGAAGTTACATTCATCAACCCTTTTGTCTACGCCACTCACGCAGCTCTCCAAACTGCGTATAAACCGATTGTTTGCCCAAACAACACCAATTTCCCCCAAACCCAAGCCACCCTCGATTTTTTTTTTGTTACAATTAATGCTCGTCAACGGTCAAAAAACCCGTTAAATATTAAACGGATGGCATGACAATACTGAACGAGTAATTATATCGATTAAATTTTCAACTTGACAGCTTGCCAACACGGTTGCCGGACGAAATTACAGAGCTATTAACCCCCTCTCGCAGGCAATCACTTAAAACTCCGCTGGCAAATTTCCGTATATGTGTTGGGGGAGGGGTAATGCGAATCGCCAGAACTTGGAGCAAGATTAATAGACGTCTATATTAGCCTGATGATAGCATTCTACAGGTCACTTGAAGAAATATGTTATGAGTAGCTTGTTGAATTACATTAGCGTTATATTTGAAGTTCGTTTTTGGACCCTTGTGAGGCTTGACGACCATGGGAAGACGACATATGGTTTGAATCTGCTTTTCACCTTTGATGCTTCTTTGCACCGTCACTTACATTTATTTTGCTCTTATGACTCTAAGCATTCCCGCCGATTTATCATTAGTGACGTGCGCTTAATGTGTCATAAAAAAAGGTTTGCCTGTTAATTTAGTGACGCATGATCCACAGTTGTTTGTATTTTTATTAATTTCGTTTATTTATCTATGTAGTTCTTTAGGTTTATAATGTAGAGTCATGTGGGGTAACTGTACGCGATTTCTAGTAAATTGCTTCCAGAATAAAAGTTTAAGTTAATTGAAAAAAAAATCAACGTTTAATCTAATGTAATAAATCTTTATAAACAAAAACAAAACATAAATTTTTAATTCTGATAATGATTGTTATTTTAATTGAAACTTTTAATCAACAAGGGAAATGCGGACACTTACCCTCATCAGTAGGAAAGTGTCCGCATGCCTTTGGTTAAGTGTACGCAACAATAGAAACTTAACCCATTGCACATTGATCACAAGTGAATATGCCACTCTCGTAACTGGTACAGGCTTCGTGCCACCAATATTTACAAATTGTACACTCAATCCACACTTCAGCCGTATCTCCGTACTTTTCTCGACATAACGGACAATAGTATTCTTGTTTCGAAGATTTATCTGCAGCCTTATCCTTTTTAACATTAAATTTCTTCTTTGAATTGCTTTTGGTTTTCATGTCTATCTTTGGTATTCTAATCTTCTTAGATTTTTGATCAATTTGTTTTTGTTTCTCCTCCAACTGAGTTTTAAAAGAACTATTGGTTATTATTTCCAACTTGCTAGGATTTTTGCGTCGAGTCTGAATGTGTATCAACTTTGGTAATGGGCTTGTATCGATTAAGGAAATATGAGACTGGTTATGGAAATGTTACGAAAAATAGAGTGCGAAATAATTTGTTGCTAGTGAAATTCTTCTATTTTGTCCATTGGATCTGAATGTGCGTGTAATTGTTCATTGGCTATGTTAATTTCACCTGGAGCTTCCATGTTCCGTTGGCTAGGTAGTGTTGAACTTTGTTGATTATGCTCTTCAGCAAGAGTTACAATGACGTGTTGTTCAGCCAGTGATGCACTTGGTTGACTATGCGTTTCAGCAATAGTCAAACTCTCTTGAGTTTCTGCCAAATCGGCAGACGTAGAAGCACTTGATTCTTGTGCAATAGATGTAATAGCTAAAGCTCGATGACTTTGCCTATCTTGAATTTCTACTGTAGATACAGAATTTGAAGTAGATGGATTTTGAGTGGTCTAGAACATCAAAATAATACTTGAAATATTGAATTTACTTCAATGGGGTAAGTATACGCATTTTAATACTGCGGACACTTACCCGCGTATACTTTCCCCATCCCGTTAAAGTAAACAAAAATTATGAAAAAAATAAGTACGACTTACCTTAGAGAAAACATGCAAATACTAAGAAAATATTGATTAATTTCTCCTGTTCACAGTCACTTTGTATATACAATTAGATTAAGTGTAACATTTTTACCATACAAATGAATTTCACGAAAATTAATAATATATCTATACAAAAATAATATCGTTGAATAATTATCCACAGCCCTGTACGGCAAACCTGTGACGCAGTACTTTCGCTTGGCGGTCAAGAGCGAACTAAATTCGGCAGGTCTCGACAAGTTGTCAACCGTGGTATTCGCACGTTGTTCATTTTGGACACTTACCCGCTGCGGACAGTTACCCCACATGACTCTATGACCTAAAAGTTGTGGCATAAAATAGTTGTCGGATTTTTTTTAAACAATAACTAGTTGTCACAAATCACAACACAATACTTAACTAAACTGTACTATCGAATTTTGTGGAGTGGTCCATTCTGCTCTACCAGACGCAACCTTCCTAGAATGTCTCTCATGAGGTTCTGGACGGCACTTAGATCAATTTCTATCAGTTTTTCGTAAATTCACCATCTTCATCTTCATTTTGGGCTTCCCCGCCTCCATGATAAACCTTCCTAGACAGTAAAGCTCAAAAATCCTCCATTGGGCACGCCTGCGGCAACTTTGGAGGATTATCGTTTTTGGGAATAAAAGGTATCTTGTGTTGTTGGAGCCAGTATCTCTTGAGTAATGGCGTGATGCTAGGTCTGGCCAAAACATGATATGGTCATTAGCATGATGTTCGTGGACAAACTGAAGCAATTTGGAAAGGTAGTTATTAATATAGCTCTGACTATTAAAAGCTTCACCGCTCACTCTTCCCACAAAAGGTTGGGATACACCTCTGTTAGAAATTGCGCACTAGACAAGGATTTTATCTGCAACTCTTGCTCGATGTTTGTATCTAGCATTGTCAGGGCATTCCTCTACGTTGTCCGTATAAAATCCGTCGTTTCCCTTCATTTCAGAATTACTCAAAGTGAAGTAGTTTTCGTCACCTAAAATAAAGATTTTTCCATTGCCAAAGTGTACCCGCCTCAGTTGACGACAGCATCTTGGTATACTAAGGTGTTGTGCTTGAGTGACTTAAAGTCTCTTTCTATATTTAAGACCATTTCTCTTCAATTCCAACGATATCGTACTCTTAGGGCCAATTTTACCAACAATAATATTTGACAGTCAGTTGGACCAATAGGAAAAGACCTTATCGAAATGCAATTTGACGGAAGCTGTCAAAGCTCTCTGAATGTTAGTCATTTTTATTGAAATGTTGAATAAAGTCGTGAAAAAACGGTTGCCTTAAAAAAGGGTACATTATAGATGTAATATTATATCTTTGTGCTTTAGGATTAGGATAACTTTCATAGAATTTCAAATTTGTATCATTTCACAAAAGACGGTCAGTTATTTAAATGGACCAATGGAAATGAGAGAAATAATAGGTCGATCTTCCAGATATTATATTTAGTAGGATGTTTTCACTGTTTTCAACGACTTTTCCTGCTTTTTTGTTATTTTGCAAAAAAGGATATAAAACGTATTCCAACTGGTTCATTATCTTTTGTTACATCAAAAACAATTTTTGTCAATTTATGATCTAGAAATCCACACCAAATGTAAACAAACAGCACATTCTGCATTTCTGGGTCTTAAAACATCGATATTTGTAAAAGTATCCGCATCCACCTATTATTCATCATCTAGATATTCAGTATCAAAAATTCCTATTTATGAAAAAACATCTCCAAAAATTGTTATAGTTTCTTGTTATTTATATTATTATAACATGCCTGGGATCTGGGATATCAATTGCTTTTAAAACGGCATCGGTAAATAGTGTCGTTGAATTCAGTGTAAGGTAAATGCCGCCCCAAGATCAGTGGTAGATCAAGGACCTTTGAGTCATGAAGAACGTCGGTTATTGTATTGGGCGCGCACACATGTTTTTGAGGGCATAGTTCTACAACGTGCATACTGGTCGCTCTTCAAAGTACTTTGCAACCATTCTGGAAACTCTTTTTTCGATTCTTGCTTATAGGATTGTGAGTCTTTTTCTGTTTTACCCCTGAACTCATGAACTCACCTCTCATTCTAATTAAATATTTATTTTGAAAACAGACTGGTTTCGGTTCCTTTATTGCTTGTCCTGTGATGAGACAATGACGGTAATCTACCAGTCTGTACCTTTTGTATGCAAAAAAATCAATTCAGGGCAAGCGGAGTAGGGGATGAGGATGTGTGTTCGTAATCCTAGGCAACTAAAATCTACGCCTCTCATGTGCCCGACTATCTGAGTGTGTATGCATATGTATGATTGATATGTAGCATAAAACTATGAAGACTACATAAAATTAACTTTTAGCTTTATTTTTGGTTTTAGCCCTGTTTCGGCCAGTATAGAAATACATATTTAAATTATTTTGAAAAATCGTGGGGAATGATGTTATCGGTAAATATTATCTTTTCGGTAAAAATACCGAAAAATCCGGTTCATGTCCATGCATAGTCAATCTGAAATTTGCAATATGAATTTATATTCTAAATTCTATGCATATCCGCACGGGTATTACGTATCTTGAAAAGTGACATTATACTGATTTTTTTTTACATTATGCTGTTTTTTTTGACATTATGTAGGCTATTCTACAAGATGTTAACTTAGCACTTAGTTGTACGTGTTGCCTAAACGTTATGAGGCTTGTTATCAACCTTTGGCTCTGATGTGATGTAAAATCTGCTTCTGAGATGGCATTACTGGAGGTCTAAGCTGTAAGTTGTATGTGTTGATGATAATTACATTGACTTCATATCTCAAATACACTTAATAATTGGGATTCAAAGCTAGAAGTTAGTTGCGCATCCACTTTTTCTTATCCATTCTGGAAATTACATATACAAATTTGCTGAATTTCAAAAATGAGAGAGTTAAGAAATAATTATATTCACTGCACACTGTCGAATTACAAGCCATATACATGCTAACAGTAATTACACATAATGCGGGCGCGGTGATGATTTCTCGTAATTCTACTCAGTTTCTAGTAATTTATAAGTTCGAACATAACCTCTCTTCAGAAAGCACAACATATAAATAACCCGTCATATTTGGCATATTCAGTAATGATTTTCTCACACAGCCAATATCACTGATTTGATACACATAGTCATCCAGACCTTGCTACTCAACCAACTTTCTTCTCAGAGATATGAACTGCATACCCGGATCACTCAGCCTCACAAAACTATGCAACCAATAATGCGTAGTTTATTTGAGTGATTCCTCCATAGATGGACGTTCACAACGATCCTAGTGAGCAAACGTGGAATTACTGTTTGCCCCTAAAAACTATCTAGTCAGCAAGTTGATATTTTATGTGTTTTTTTGACGTTTTATAGGTTTTATTACACGAAGCTTTTATTTGTCATAAGATGTTAGCAAAATGTAAGATAGTAAAAGCAACACCGCACCTTGCAGCCCAGTTGACAAGAACGACAAGCTGTCAAGATTAGGGATGTTTAGATCCACGAAAAGTATCGATGAGTATCGATTCTTATCGTTTAAGGAAGTGTCGATACTCTAAAATATTGGAATAAAATTATCGATATCCAGCGGAAGGAAACAAAGACGAAAAGTAATCTGAAGTTAGTCACTCTTTCTGACACAGTCCGGATCGGAAAATGACGATACTCGTGAAATGTATCGATACACCCAAGTGTCGTATATAAAAATACGAATCTAAAATATCGTATATGGGAAGCAAAAGTATCAATACTTCTAAATATAGGATTGTATCGAACATCCCTGCTGTCAAGATGTTTAACCCGAGGTACCGACGGAGCGATTTTGCGGCGTCATGGAAATAATTTTAAATTTTCATTTGCATTTTTTCAAGTGTTGTGCAACGATTTTGAGAAAAATTCCACGTATGGTCTTATAAGGCATATTAGAGTATATTTCAACAGTTGACGGAGCTTACTTCACTGGGACCAAGGGTTGACAGATCCCACACATGTGCTACTCGTTGGGGAGTTTTGAAATGTAATAATCAGCTGTTATTCAAATAATGTCTAATATACGAGTAAATATAACATAGAATGTGTACTCAGTGAAAGAAAAAAGTTATTCTTTTGCAGGTTTCAAGTTTGCCGGTAGCTTTACGACATATATTTGAGTATTTCTTAATCGCTGTAAATATAGTGTGGATGTTTGTTCAGTTTCCGAACAACCAAGAAATATTTGACTTTATGGATGTATGGATATCACAAATCCTGCATGGTTTTGTGGGAATATCAATCGACGGTGCTATAATGGTACTGATGAACGGCAAGTAAATGAATGAATGTATGGAAACGAGCAATATCTATTGAATTTTTGGTAGAGCCTGTCATCAAGTAGGTGCTTAATGGCTATCTGCGAGAGGTTTATAGGAGAAAACACACGGTAGGTGATGTTGAACCAGTAAAATCACATATCAATTGAAGAAAAGGATATAAACAATAAACAATCGACCATATTAAATAAAAACATTAAAAAATCGAACACTTTTTTAAATTTTGACTAACTTATATGTAATTACTTAACATTCAATGAGCTAGTGATGTTTCAATGACAAGCTGTCATCTCCTACTTTGACAGTATTTTGTTTCCAACATTTCATAGCTTTTGGTTGCTAAAATTTGTTGATTGGGACTTGAAGCTCATTCCCTGTATTCCCTATAGGTAGAGAATAACGGACTGTTGATTTGACAATCCTGGTGAAATCCACCCTTAGAACTCTATTGACGAGCCAGTCTCCTTGATGACATTCCAATCTGATTTTTTGCTGTTCTTACCAATATCTCTGACCTCTGCGCAGTAAATGCACGTGGTCATCCACCTTTTGGGAGATTTGGAAATGGCATTTCTTGCTCGCACTCCGTTACTGCGTTCGATAAATGGTTCTGCGTGAACTGTTTTTATTCTGGAATATTCGACCGATTTCAGATTTGGGTAGAGGCTCAACCAACTTATAGATACTTTCTCTTATTACTAATTTATACATCTTAAAGCGAAAA